TCTCTTTCTCTTGGATCAAAGTTTTTTGAATTTACTTAAATGAAAAAACAAATACTACATTTACAACATTAATAAATCTAAAAGTGGTTTATTTACTTTTAGCTCACTATTATTTCCTCAAAATAAATTAATTTGATTTAAACACTTTTGGGCAATTATCAACAGTACTTGGCTATTTAACCAAGAGACTTTTCCTCTTTAGAATTAATAATTATTTTTTTTCAGATAGATAAACAGATCTGTTGCCACAAAAATCCAAAATATTATGAATTAAAAAAGTTTATGGATTTTTTTATACATTTATACTTTATTAATATTTTACAGATATATAAAATATGTCATTTTTATTTTCGACATTAACCTCTTAACTTTTAGCCGCTGTAGGCTTATTAACAGTAATAAATGTGAATCAACTTCTTATTGAGAGATAATCCAATTTTAACATATCTTCGCTTCTATTATCTACTACATCTAGAAACTTCAAGCATAATATTTTGTGCTAAGCGGATTATTGTTCAATGTTTTTTTTAACAGTTTTTTATTGCTAAATGCAGTATTTTGGTTATCATTTAAATGCTATTATTAAACTGGTCCTTGAAAATGCCCAGCTTACTAAACATGAAGGAAAAAAATACTACTTACAAAGATGCTATATCTATGGTTGAAAGTATCAATTTCATTTAAATATAATATTATATAATATGTATGCAATTAAGTTGAATCATGAATAAGTTCAAACATTAACATCTAATTAATCTTAAAGGATATTTTAAGATGCAAAACTTTAACTTATTACACCATCATCATTACTGCTTGGAAACATTCGAATGAGTAGTTTTCACATGAGCACCTTTAGATCCATTCATACAATTAATTCTTTCAATAACAGTAATTATTAAGTCATTTCTAGGTGACCTGATCCCTTCCACATCAGTCTTCATTATTATGTTGTATTCTAATGGTCCTAATAACACTTATAGTTATTATTTATTATACTAGATATTAGTTCCACAGGTAATTTTAAATCAATTAGCGCCCACACAACTTACGACTTTTCTTGCTACCCCATGAAAGTCATGTACCACATACACTTTACAACTGTTCAGCTAGTAAGGTTTAGGTCATCACCACGATATAAGGTCCTTTTGCATCAGCACTTTAAATATCCATCATCACCATTGCACGTTTAATTAATGAAGCTATTTTCGCCAGGGGCATTTATAAATTTTGTCATTCATTTTCAGACTCTGGAATACCTTCTTTGGACTAGTCTGTAAACAGCGAGATATCTGAACGACCATTATGTATATAAAGGAATAGTTGAAGAAACAGGAAGCGTACATACATAATATATGGTATGAATGTACAAGTATACATATAATGGTATGTTTGACAGTAACTTGGTGCCTCTAATCTTCTTTTACATCAATGTTGTTCGTTACAGTTACAAAACTTCCGTCCCAAATACACGTGAGCAGGCTGATTGCAAATTCAAATAGCAGTTTCGAAACCATAACGTTTTTGATCAGCCGGTGTCTTTAGTTCCCGCTGATTGAAGTTACTCGGGCCCATTATCAGACCATAAAGCTGGTCAATGGTGTCTGTAGATACACTTAAAGTCTTCAATTCAGCCAAATTTCTAAAATTGTAACAAAAAAAAATAGACGTTATAATTAGATTTAGTAATCTGTCATAAGACGACGGGAATTTCTCAAAGCTCTTTAATTACGAAAATGAATAAATTAATTTCAAGTTATAGCAAGTACAACTGTTGTTTCTTTTAATATCTGTAAATGATGACAATACCATAATTGCAACTGAAAGTTCAATATCTAGAAAGTTTGTAACTTGCTCCTTCACACTTAAAAAAAAATAAGCATTATAGAATGCGAAAGGAAATCATTGCATCTGTGCTGTAGTTTTGAGAGCCTTATAAAAACTTATGGTAATATGATTTATTAACATATTACCTTTCAGGTTGACATGAAACTTTATCAGTTGGATTACTTGCCTCCTCACCCCCATGACTTGGCGACGGTGACTCCTCCTTGTGACCACTATTGATCTCTTCCTGAAATCTGAGCAAAATTTTCCTGGCTTCTTGATTTAAAGAGGTAAACCGAAGAGCTTCGGTAATATCCTGAAGAGCTGACTCACTATGTCTAGAATAACAAATAGCTTCTTTTTAGAAACCAGAATTTAAAAATAGTTTTGGTGTATGACAGTTTAAAAGATCACTTTTTATTACCACAAAATATAGAGTGGAGTATTAATTTAGAAGTAATTCCATCTGGCGGCCATTTATGTCATACGTCTCATGTACTGTCATGTTAGAAGAAAGTACTGCTATCTGGTGGCCATTTGTGTCACAATCTTAGATACTGTCCTCCACGTAAATAACAAAAATTTCACTGACTGTTTCACTAATAAAGGATATTTGAGCAGGACAATAATGGTGTTTAAAAAAAAAGGGTATACGCTTGTTATTTCGTAAAGAACACTTCGTCTTAAAGTAAGGTTGGATCATAAGATCATCAACATGTTTTATTAATACAACATCCTTTCTCGCTAATAATTTATGACATCTATTTCAAGCAATACCATTAAATGATGTTAGACTAGGATGTACTCTGTGTATAAATGAATGTGTTATTCTAGAATTATCTAAAAAGTGTGTCACACCTCACACAAAACTGTTTGTTTCAGAGCAAAGCCACATTGAGCTATCTGTTGTGCCAACCGCGGGGAATCGAACCCCGGATTTTTGCGTTGTAAGTTCGTAGACTTACCGCTATGCCATCGGGGGACATTATATAGAGAATCAGGATAAGTAAGAGCATGGAAAATATATCAATACCAATCTTACATTTAGCTTATAATTGCATCATTCAGTAATAAAATGTTTAGAGGAAAATATTAAAAGCCTAACCACCTCTTACTTAACAGCGATAATTTGTAAAACACTGATGTGTTTTCAAGTTCTACTTTCGCCAAAAATGACGGCTTTCTTTTTGTAATATTTCATTATAGTCTGCATTACAAATGTCTGAAATAAAATTGTCTTTCTATATAATTTATAGATAACAAGACAATTGGATATTTATATAATATTTACTAAAGTGGTGTTTTTTAAAGGAAATTCAGTCATTAAAATTTTTAAAAATATATCCCCTTCCTGCTTCCGTATTATTCCTTCAAAACTATTCATTGGGCTAAGATTTCCCATAGGAGTAAACGTAATGAATGAAATAAAATTAAACAAGCTTTTTAAAATAATAATAAAAAATAATAGGTCTATGCTTATTATGAGCAGGACAATAATGGTGTTTTTAAAAACACCAAAAACACTCCTCAATTTTAAAATATATTGAATATTTACGTTAGAAAAATTATCCAACTAGATTAAATTATTGTTATTTATAATTAATAAACTATGAATAATAATTCTAAACTTTGTTACTAATTAAAGAATTATTATTATAGGAATTAGCGAAGAGAGTATTTCTATGTCAGTTAGAATTTAATACAAGAAAACGTTTCAGTCATTACCAGCTTATTCCTAGATGGTTTTTTAAATAAACTATGGCCATCTACAATTCACTACAATTGTTCATTATTTTTTAAATAAACTATTGCCATCTACAATTCACTACAGTTGTTCGTTATTTTTTAAATAAACTATGGCCATCTACAATTCACTACAATTGTTCGTTATTTTTAAATAAACTATGGCCATCTACAATTCACTACAATTGTTCGTTATTTTCTAAATAAACTATGGTAACGAACAATTGTAGTGAATTGTAGATGGCCATAGTGTATTTAAAAAATAATGAACAATCGTAGTGCATTGTACTCCGTAAGCCAAATACTTGACTGCTTAAGAAGTTAATAACAAATGATTTTCTATGTTAATTCTAGTACTGTACCAATATGTCATACATTTTCAATAAATAACTTTGATCTGGTACCGCAGTAACTTTGAAGTATGCTTCAAGTTTGTTTACATCGTTCGATAATAACTATTTTATAATCACGCCTTAACCTTCTTCAGTGCTCCAGTTAAGTTAGCAAAGCTGTTGACTGGTTCTTAACTAACACCTCGTAAATCATTACGTAGTAAGCCAGATGTAAACATTAGCAGATTAATGATTTCCTCCACAGTCCTGTATGTTATCGTGTTATATTATGTAAAACTAGAGGAGTACACAGTAGAGCACGTGCCTCCGCCACGCAGCGTTGATCATATTTGGCCCTCAAAAAATACGAAAATGTGTCCGTATGTCTGTCGTTATCAACGGCCACGGTCCATTTTTAGTTTAGTAGGACAACGAGGAATAATACTCTACATATGTCTACCAAGTTTCCTCAAAATCCGATCATTTTTGACTGAGTTATTGAGCAAATATAGTGTGAAAAATCGGTCCCCGTGTTAAGAAATAGGGATTTTTTTATTTTCTTGACCTTGACCCTCCAAAAACTAACCACTTCTTAGTTGGGTCATAGTCCAAATGTAAACCAACTTTCGTCCAAATCCATTCAGCCGTTTTCGAGAAATCTTGCTGACAAACACACACACACACACACATGGGTAAAAACATGACCTCCGTCACCTTCAATGGCGGAGATAAAAAGATAATAACATATTTCTGGTGATATATATACACTGTATGGTATCTTTAGTTTGTCACTAGTTGCTCAATAACGTGTAACTGATATCTGATAATTTTCACATCATTGAAAGTCACTTCTCCCTCGCATAATTCAGTTCCTATACTACTGACTAGTTGTTCAGTTCCTATACTACTGACTAGTTGTTCAGTTTCTATACTACTGACTAGTTGTTCAGTTCCTATACTACTGACTAGTTGTTCAGTTCCTGTACTACTGACTAGTTGTAGATCTCATTAAGTTTGAAAACTTACCCAGCTTCGTGTTTAGCACGTGCTCTTGTGAAATAACCATCAACTGATTTAGGCTTTAGAAAAATAGCTTGGTCAGCTGCTTCAATAGCTGCATCAAACTCCTATAAAATCAAAACAATTATATTTCATAGTATTGTCCTTTAATTTGAAATCAAATGCTTTTTGTGTAACATAACATTCATGATAAATAATATATATATATATATATATATTATACTATTTGACAAGAAGTACTTTAAACTCCAATAACCACGTGTTTTTAGATTTGTTTATTGTTAAGCACAAAGCTACTCAATGGGTTGCCGATTTTAAGCGTTATAAGCCCTCATACTTACCATTAAACCACCAGAGGGCAGGTAGGTTAATGACTGACTACTTTTTTAGGTCAGCAAATTCGTAGTCATAGCAACTTCAGTGAAAAAAATACATCAGTACAAATAAATTGACATCATGTATTAGTTTTTTTTTCATTTTAATAATAAACATTAATTATTATGTAAGCTAGTGTGATAAGCAGCTTTTTTTGTCAATGAACACTAAAAAAAATGAGAGAAGGTGGATCAGTATTGCTACAACCATGAATACTTGTTTGTTTGGGTGAAGCACAAAACAACACAATGGGCTATCTGTGCTCTGCCCACCAAGGGTATCAAAACCTGGTTTCTAGCGCTGTAAGTCCGTAGACATACCGTTCGGCCAATAAGGGGGGGGGTATTTTACGTAAGCTAAAAAAACATCATAATTCTAATGTAAATTTATTGTAATGCATATTTATTTAGTATCTGATGATTAAATGTGGTACAGATTTTAGCACAATAAAAAATTATCCTATAACCTCTATACATAACCTTTTTTATAACTATAGTGTATGGTAATCTTATTAATAATAATAGTAAGGAGTTTTTTTTATGTGGCCTATTCTTATTGATTTCAAGCTCTTAAGGATTTTTTTCTTCCTAAATAACAGATTATATCTTACACTGTAAATTTTAATTATTTCTAGTTTTTCAAACTTACAGTTTTACATATGCACACAGTTGTTTTGATAGCCTGAGTTACAGAACCCATAAATTATCGCTTGTTTATCAAATACACTTATTGTTGAACACTCCCTTTTTAACTTACTATAAAATTCTGATACAAAATTTGTTAAGGTCAAATACAATAATTCTTTATGAAGAAATTTAAATCGTGTATAGGGTATACTTCTCTAATGTTTATGGACAGTTAAAAGAAAGTCCACTAAATCACTCTTACATGGTTATACAGAAAACAACAAGAAATAAAAGCTTATGTTAGTTTCTAAATTCTAGAAATAATTATATGTACAAAATGAATACAAATCCGTAAATATATAAAGGTAAATGGTGTTTAAACACACACAAACATATATATGTGTGTGTGTCTATATATATATATGAATTTGTCTATGCGTATGCTATTTTCCAAGATTTATAGAAACCTTTAACCAAAGTATAACAAATGCTCGTGGCTACTTTCCCTTGACTAATTTTTTTTTATCTATGCACTAAATGGGATTTCTATGTTGCCAGCATGTAACATAACAGTATAAAACAGTTGAATGTGATTAAGCATGTGCCACTCAACTGAAAAATAATAAAAACAATAAAATGAATAGATTTCTGAAAGAGGGCTAATCATAGGATCTAGGCTTCTAGGGGCAACAATTACAAAAACATGTGAAGTTCCAAACAATCAAAAGGTTCATGTCTCAAAGGTTATGCTATCTGGAAAGTGCTGTGGAAAACCAATTTAATTAATGGAAACCTGGGCAAGAAAAAGGCAATAACTGATTGGAGCTACCATCATCTCTGCAGCATTTCAAAGAAAAACATGAAAGTTGCTGCTTATGCTTTGACTAAAATGATGAATGTTAGTCATGAACAACTAATATCAGTAGCAACAGTTTGTAGAGAACTTTATCGCATGGGTATTCATGGGAAAAGTGTAATTTGAAAACTACTCAAATGGAATGAAAATAAGATATCTTTACTCTGCTGGTGTCAGTTGCACAGAACTTGGACTTTGGATGACACGTGGTGTGGGCAGAAGGACCCCAGTTTTGAAGTGATGTATGTCTACCAATGAATTGTTTCCATCAGACTCTATATTATGCCAACTGTTAAGGAACACATAAGTAGTATGATAGCTTGAGCTGTATTCTGTTGGTATGGACAAAATCTACTTATATAATTGCATAGCTGCATAACTTCAATTGGCTATCTGGGCATCTATCTCTGTTCATATATTTGCACCTGCAAGATGATGGGAGCTTCCAGGATTTGAACCCTTAGACCAACTATGGGATGTTTTGGACTACCATCTTCATGCACAAAAGCTTCCAACCAGGTATCAGTGACACTTATAGTTTGCTATTCGAACTAGAGGTGTTGCATTACTATATAATAAACACACCACTTTGAATCCAATCTGTTATCACCGCTTATGGTGGCCCAGTGTAAGCATGAGATATGATAGAGTACAAAACATACACATATTACTCAAAAGAGAGAGAGTGCAACAAGTTTGATGGGTAACTGGTTGTAATAACACATACGTATTAACTGTAACACATCTTTTTCTTTTACATAACTTAAATTTTTATTTCTGCATTATTTTCTCATAAAACCAAGTTTTTTAATATAAGACTTTCTTTGTCCATATCTCAGCCATTTCAATTGTAGCTATACATTGGACTTTATTTAATAGCACCATTAAAACTATATGTCTTTTTCATTTTCAGCATACGTTCTACAGCTATCTATCTATATATGAATATATAATGTTTTCATTTTATTCATTTCATTATGTATAGACATCTGATGAAGGGAAGTTGCTTGAAATTTGAACTTAGAAAATAAATATTGCTTAGTAACTTATAATTTTCCCATTAATACAATGCTTTGTATTCTTTATTCAAATTTTTGTACATACTTTTAAATACTTCTATGTTTGTCAATCAGTAGTCAGTTGTAAATTCCAAGTTTGTACCATATTTTGCTTGCTGATATGTATTAACTGATTAACAAATATAAGAAAAATTCACTGATTTTCAACTGAAGAATTAAGGAGTATGAAATATAGTTAATCTCTTACATTCATTTTCCGTTTGCACTTGGACAGAAACACATACAAGTGGAACTTGACTTGCTGAAAAACTAACAAGTGATCTTTCATGGTGTCTTCTCCAGGACACTTCTTTAGAGCATACTGAAAACGATGTGCAGCTTCTTTCAATCGTCCCTTCTGCAGAACAGAAGTTATGCACTATTTCACTATCGAATATTTGAACTTCTTACATTAACATAATCAAATGGTACCAAATCTTTTTACAATCATTTCTGGGAAACTTCTTTATTCATTTGAACATGTTTCTTTTAATGAAAATGTTATATGGTTTATAAAAACTATTAATTATGTGTTTTGCATATCATGATCTATGACATATAACTGTTAAGATTCTTCATGAAGATGTGATTAAATTAAATATTAAATCATTTTTTCCAGAGCCATAATTGAACACATATTGTAACACCATCAATTATATTTTATCAATATAGTTTCAATCTTCACTTAACTTATACTTGCGAATTTTCAGTTATTACTAAATTAATAGTTCAATGGTATTTCAATGCAAAATAATATGTCATATTTTCTATATGTATGCTTTAAACGTTTATAGGTGCATTCATTGCATAACTTTGCTTTTTGAAAAGCTAAAAAAAATACACAATGACAATTTTATGACCAACCTTATAAAGCGTTGTTCCATCTTCATGAAGTTTTTTCAGCAGTAACAACAATACATCAGGCTTGCCCTCAGTCATAGCCCATGTCTGGGGACCTAGCATAATTAAAGTTGACAAAGAACTTTTCAGATAGAAACATATTATTATTATCAATCATTCATGTAAGTAAGTACAGAAATAATCGGTTATCATTAAGCCTACAAAGAACTCTTATTATATCCATTTTATTTAAAAAACATCAAACTGCTACAAAGTAATTTTGGACTCAAAAATGTCATCAAAACACTTTGAATTTAATTTTCATAAAAATAAAAATCATGCACATCTTCATGTTGTTAGAATTTGTACAGAAATTTATGGTATTATTGTAGGCTATGTTTTCATTGTACAGAAAATTATGGTATTATTGTAGGTTATGTTTCCATTGTACAGATATTTATGGTATTATTGTAAGCTATGTTTCCATTGCACAGAAATTTATATTAATATTGTAGGCTATGTTTCCATTGTACAGAAAGTTATGGTATTATTGTAGGCTATGTTTTCATTGTACAGAAAATTATGGTATTATTGTAGGCTATGTTTTCATTGCACAGAAATTTATGGTATTATTGTAGACTATGTTTCCATTGCACAGAAATTTATATAAATATTGTAGGCTATGTTTCCATTGTACAGAAAGTTATGGTATTATTGTAGGCTATGTTTTCATTGTACAGAAA